ACAATCTGTCCTGAAGAGTCGTCGCCAAAAAATGGCCGGAAGGTGGCCCACGCAACGTTGGAATTTCGCCGAAAAATTCTCTTTGGACAGCTACAGTACTGCCGAAGATTTTCACTGGGATTTGGTCGCCGGATAGTGACTACTCTTGTGGTAGTGTTGGATTTTGTGCACAACACTGACCGAGACAAAGCAGACGCAAAACAACTTTGAAAGTCGCCGGAAAAAAAGGGTTCCGGTGACTGATTTTACTTCCCGGAATCGCTGGAATTTATGCACAGAGATAAATCTCTCACGATAGCTCTGATACCATGTGAGAAGGCACGGGAGAAAATATGATATATTGATATTGTATGTGATGCAATACAAGAGGTGCTATTTATAGCTACTCTATACAAAGGGGATACTATTCCTATTTCAATGTGGGACAATTACATAGCTATTTCTAACAGACTGAAGGAAGTTCCTCTACACAAACTCGTTGGATTGTTCAGTATCCTCCTAAATAGGAAATAACACGTCATTTTACAAGGTAAGAAAAGCATGGTCGAAGATATAAGCTACAAATGTATCATGTTGTCACAACATGGAAAAGAACAACATAAGCACTTCTCTCCTATCTATGGCACGAACTATTTGGTTCTTGTCAATCGAGAAACATTGACAATTTCACTCGCAACAAACAATATGTTGTACTGTATGTAGCATTAATCAGGTGTAATTGCCTTATCGCAAATATTAATATGGTGGCAGATAGAAAGATTGAAGCCAATTCTTCTTTTTTTTATTCTTTTTTTCTTCTTTTTTTGATGAAAAGGGATTGGAGCAAATTCTATAGCTCCTATGAACCTGCTTCATGTTGAAGCTATTTTGGCGCTTCTTCCATTTCAATTTTCTTTAGCACTTTTCCCTTTCCCAACGCCACTAAAACGAAACGTGGCATTTATATTCACAACTTTCAATTATTCAAATTCTCTTTCTTCTTCTTTGATGAAGTAACATTCAAATTCATTTAACTATTCAATTTTTAAACTTTAATAAGATGTTTTAGTGATAGAACTACTTTTCAACTATTACACAATATTCTCTTCCACTACCGCTATTACAATATACAAGTCAAATTAACTTTTTAACTCCATGTCTAGTCAAATCTTGTCACATAAAATGGTACAGATAATATATCACATATATATCTGATTTTAAGCAAAATAGCATGAGAAGGCCCAAAGCATCAAATCGTACAAACAGTGTTTCTGGTTCATCATATACACAACAAATTGCTCTTGCAATTTAACTCTGCCCGCACTGAAATAACAATACTATAAAAATTGATACCTTAAGTGCATCATTTCCACTGGAAAGCTTCGAGTCGTTCCTTTGGCCAGCTGCTCTCGTAATAAACCGATTGATTCTTCCAAATCCTGAATTAGAAAAGAACAAAATTTCTAATTTCTAATTTTACACACGAAAACTAGGAAGCGAAAATGATTTCGAAATTTATGCTGAGAGTTAAGCTGATACCGTCAAATCCTATTCTGATCTTCTTCCCTAAACCTGTAAAAAAAAGCGACAAGATTTAGCTCATTTATTCATCGGCATCAGTAAAATCCAAATCGGGATTAGGATTAATAGAAAATATTACTCATGATTCAAAGAGAGGACGTTGTTCGGGTGAGTAGCGGAGGTAGAAGAATGTAGCGTTTGCAAGATGAGTGCACTGTGTTGGAGATGATTTTGTTCGTGTGCGCGCGCGAGAGAGGAGGGGGGGGGGCGCCTGGCTCATAGACTTTGAGAATGAATGGTCAGAAATTGATCGAGTCTTCAAGTCGGGTTTCCAACGTTCGGGTCAAATTCCGGTTGCTACAGCCCGAATGCCTGGCCTTGTATTATTTAATTTTGGGAATCTTATCGAAATGTATTAGATAAGTCCTAACTTACTAATAACATCTCCTATACTTACCAAAATTAGTCAAGCACATACAAAAAATAAAAACTCAAATAAATAAAGGTTTTTTCTCTCCAAAAATCACACGCAAAGATATTCGTCCATATTTTTAAGCATGATCAACAACATTAAATACAAGACGAGGAAAGGAAATTTCATAGATTAGGTAGCAAATAAAGTAGATGAAATATAAAAAAATATATACAATATTTCAAAAATCTTAGCAAAAAGGAACATTTTTCAATGGGTATGGTTGAAAATCATTGAAAACATACAGATGAATTGTTGGGATTTTAAGTATATGATATGCTTAAAATAGGGTGAATGAGAAATGGAGGGAAATGAAATTTTTGAGTGAAATTTTAAGTTTCCCCCTTTTGCAAAGGGACATTGTCTCATATTAAAAGAGGAAGAATTTTTTTATGGGTATATAAGCAATTGCTCTTCTTCTAACTCTTAAAGAGAAGGCAAGTCTCACGTCGTCGTCGTCACTCGCTCGGCTCGGCTTCGGATTCAGATTTGGTCAAATGATTGATTGGTTAATTTTTTGGATTAAATTTATTTGTTAATAGTAAAATATTAACAAAAATGTTATTAAATATTTGTTTTAATAACAGAATATTAATATTAAAATAAATATTAATATTAAATCCAATCCGTTTTTCAGTTGTGTAACTGAAAATTAAACTACCATCTTCAATTTCCCCTCTTTATTGTTGAGTAAATAGCCATTTATGTTATGGCATTTATGATGTGGTCGTTTCGCAAAAACAATCATTCTGAAGAGTTGCACCTCTTCAGATTTCAGCCCAACTTTGACTATAAATACAAGACTCTTCTGCTAAGAATTTCCATACGATTTTCTGAGTTTCTCCTCCTTCTTCTGCATACTTTTAACATCAAACAAAGTAACAGTAAGTGTGATTTGCTACCGAACTTTGTGTTCACTGAAATACTGGGGTTTGAAGTACCACTACACCAGTGTGTAATTCGTTCTATCCTGGGAGGAAATAATCTCTAACCTTGGGTTCTAGGAGGGGACTAAATTCTTTAAGGAAACACTGTGAATTCAGTGGGCTCGGATTAAAATTCTGTTTCTGTTTTTCATTTCTATTTATGTTTATTTATATTTTCCAGAATTATTTTACAAATACAGTTTACTAACGAGCTTAAAGAATTTAATATATTTTCTGTATTTGTACTCACTGTTTTGGAGTTGTGGTTTTGTACTCTATTGGAGATTAAAATCTACGTGATTTTAACATTTGTGTCATTCTTTTACAGAAATGACTAATGATAATGTGAACCAAGTTGTTCCAATGGTGACTGCCAATGCCTTAACGAGCCGAACAACACCGACAGCATTGGCACCAGCAAAGAAACCCGAAAATTTTTTCGGGATTGATTTCAAAGCGTTGTCAGAAAAAGATATTCTTCTACTTGACTACTCTAAGTCTCTAGAAGTTCATCAAGGAAGATGTTCCTATGCTATCCGATGAAACTCCAGAAACTGAACGTTTTCTCGTGATTGAGGCGTGGAAGCATTCAGAATTTTTGTGCAAGATTATATTCTAAGCGGGCTGGAGGATGCTTTGTATAACGTCTACAGTGGCGTGGAAACGTCAAAAGAACTGTGGACTGCGCTTGAAAAGAAATACAAAACTGAAGATGTCGGGTTGAAGAAGTTCGTTGCTGCAAAGTTTTTGGACTACAAAATGGTAGATAGCAAGTCTGTTATTACTCAAGTCCAGGAATTGCAAGTAATTATTCACGATCTCCTTGCTGGAGGTATAAATCAAATTAATACTTATGTTGAAAGTAGTAATCTTAGTATTTTTACTAATAGAAATTTCATTGAAGGTCTTGTCATCAATGAAGCATTCCAAGTAGCAGCGATAATTGAGAAGTTGTCTCCTTTGTAGAAGGACTTCAAAAACTACTTGAAACACAAACGCATGGAGATGTCCCTTAAAGATCTCATTGTTCGGTTGAGAATCAAAGTGGACAACAAATCTGCTAAAAAGAGAGGCCGTGGAAACTCAACAATAATGGGAGCAAATATTGTTGAAGAGAACAAAAAGAGGAAGAAGACTTCTGGACCGAAATACAACCCAAGCAAGAAGCGGTTCAGTGTAAATTACTACAACTGTGAAAAAGCCGGACACAAATCTACGGAGTGTTGTGCTCCGAAGAAACACAAGAAGAAGGGTCAAGCAAACATGGTTGAAAAGCATGATGATGTTGATGACTTATGTGTCATGCTTTCCGAATGCAACTTGGTGGGCATTCCTAAAGAGTGGTGGATTGATTCTGGAGCCACTCGTCATGTTTGTGTTGTTAGAGAATCTTTTGCTACTTATGCTCCTGTTGGACCCGATAAGACGCTTTCTATGGGAAATGCTACAAAGGCCAATATTGAAGGATGTGGGAAGATATTTCTCAAAATGACTTCCGGTAAAGTGGTGACTTTGAACAACGTCCTTCATGTTCCCGAGATTAGAAAGAACTTAGTCTCTACTGGACTTCTTGTTAAGAATGGTTTTAAATATGTTTTTGTTTCTGATAAGGTTGTAATAAGTAAGAACGAAATGTTTGTAGGAAAAGGCTACCTCGCTGAGGGCTTTTTCAAGCTGAATGTAATGGTTGTTGAAAATAATAATAAAATTTCAGCTTCGTCTTATTATTTGAGTCAAATGAATTATGGCATATACGTTTGGGTCATGTTACTTATAAACCCTTGCGGAAAATGATTAATTTGAAAGTATTGCCTAAATTTGAATACGACAAATCAAAATGTCAAATACGTGTGGAATCTAAGTATGTTAAACATCCTTATAAGTCAGTTGAAAGGAATTCAGATCCTTTAGACTTAATTCACACAGATATTTGCGATATGAAGTCAATACCATCTCGCAGTGAAAAGAAGTATTTCGTAACTTTTATTGACGATAGTACTCGATATTGCTATGTTTACTTACTTAATAGTAAAGATGAAGCAATAGACACATTTAAGCAATACAAAAATAAAGTTAAAACGCAACTTAACAAGAAAATTAAAATGATAAAAAGTGATAGGGCTGGTGAATACGAATCTCCTTTTGAGCAAATATGTTTAGAATATGGAATTATTCATAAAACAATGGCCCCTTACATGCCTCAATCCAATGGGATTGCAGAAAGAAAGAATTGTTCATTAAAGGAGATAATGAACACATTATTGATAAGATCTGGTTTGCCACAGAACTTGTGAGGGGAATCCGTTATGACGGCTAGCCGAATACTAAATCGAGTACCCCATATAAAAACACAATCCATTCCATATAAAAATTTAAAGGAAGGAAGCCCAACTTGAATTATTTTAAAGTGCGGGGGTGTTTGTCAAAAGTGCAAGTTCTTAAATGCAAAAAGATAAAAATAGGACCGAAAATCGTTGATTGTATTTTCATAGGATATGCGACTAATTGTAAAGTATATCGATTTCTGGTTCATAAATCAGAAAATTCCGACATTCATAATAATATAGTTATAGAATCAGATAATGCTGAGTTCTTTTAAAATATATATCCGTATAAAAAGGAATGTGAGTCGATTGGTGAAGGATCTAAACGACATCGGGAAGAAACAAAAGAAATGGAGGGAGAGTTGCAGTTTTGGTCTTGAAATTCATCAAATGGATGTTAAGACAACCTTCTTAAATGGAGAGTTGGAGGAAGAAATTTACATGGAACAACCTGAAGGGTTTGTGGTTCCAGGTAAAGAAAAGAAGGTATGTAGACTTGTTAAGTCCCTTTACGGACTAAAACAAGCACCCAAATAATGGCATACGAAATTTGACCAAACAATGTTGTCAAATGGTTTTAAAATAAATGAATGTGATAAATGTGTGTATATTAAAAATATTTCAAATCACATAGTCATTGTTTGCTTATATGTGGATGATATGTTGATAATGAGTAATGACATTGCCAACATAAATTCTACTAAGCGTATGCTAACTGGCAAGTTTGATATGAAAGACTTGGGAGTTGCTAATTTAATTCTAGGGATTAAGATCCATAAGACTCCTCAAGGTTTGACATTGTCACAATCTCATTATATTAATATAGTACTTGAAAAGTTCAAGCACTTAGGGTTTAAAGTTGCAAAGACTCCAATTGATGTGAATCTTGCATTAGCAAAGAACAAAGGCCAAAGCATATCACAATTGGATTATGCTCATGTGTTGGGATGCTTAATATACATCATGAATTGTACACGACCAGATATAGTTTGTGCTATAAGTAAACTGAGTTGATACACGAGTAATCCAGGTCAATCTCATTGGATGTCAATGAAACGAGTTTTGGGATATTTAGAACATACTCAGGGCTTTGCTTTGCACTACAGTAAATATCTTGCGGTGATTGAGGGATAATGTGATGCAAATTGGATCACAAGTTCAACTGATTCTAAGTCCACAAGTGGATATGTATTCACTATTGGTAGAGGAGCGGTATCTTGGAAGTCATCCAAACAAACTTGTATTGCCTGCTCTACAATAGAGGCTGAGTTCATAGCCTTGGATAAAGCCGGTGAAGAAGCTGAATGGCTCTGGAATTTCTTGGAAGATATTCCATTTTGGCCCAAACCGTTGGCACCAATATGCATACATTGCGATAGTCAAGCGGCAATTGGAAGGGCTGGGAGCGTTATATATAACGATAAATCTCGTCATATACGATGAAGACATAAAACCGTTAGACAATTACTCTCTAGAGGAATTATCATGATGGACTATGTAAAGTCAAGTGATAATGTGTCAGATCCACTTACAAAAGGCCTAACTAGAGAGGT